GTGTTAAAGCTTAAGAGGCTTAAAGAGAAGGCCGTGCTCGCCTAAGTGGTGCTGAGAAACAAATGTGTAGGCTAGAAGAAAATGTTCTTGGCTTTTTTGGTGCTAGCTCAGTAATGAGCACAACTCAGCGTGTGCTTTGGATGCAATTCTGCACAACCAAAGTAAGAGGGATCATTTCCTGGTGTCCTGAACGGGAACACAGTACCCAATCCTCACTTGCCACTCATATCCTGGGTTTTCACACCATATATTGCCTGTTTAAAGAAGTAGCATACCAAAGGATGGGGGTTTCTAACAAACTGGGCCACCAAGCACACAAATCAAAGTTGATCCTGCCCTGTGCAGGGCCAGGGGCTGGATTTGTTGATCCTTGTGGGTCCCTTCCAACTCAGGGTATCCTATGATTCTGTGATTCTATGATCTTGGTAGACTAATCACACAGCCTGTGACTCCAGTCCCAGAACATAACATAATTTAGGCTAAACCCCCCCAATGTATTAACTTCAGAAGTATCCAAATACTGAACAACTGAAAACTAAAGTTCCTGCTTGTTTTTTCCTCTCTCTGCCTTTGCCTGAAATTAAAAGACAGCTTTGCTAAATTGTTAATCTGGAATGAGGACCTCACAATTGGATGCTCTGACACAGATGCTTTGTTCTTGTTTATATAGCATGCAAAATGTGGGTGGTTTATCAGAGGGCTTATCTACCTATTTTGTCTTATCTCGCCTAATTGCAAGCTCAGGTATAAAGAGAATACTTGAATCTGTAGAGTAAATAAACAAACATCACACACAGAACTGAAATAAGCAAAGGTTGTCTGAAAATCCCCGTGGGTATCTATAGGTTTCTCCTTTCTTTTTTTCCTACAGCTTTCCTGACCCAGGTCTTTAGTGTAGGCCCTGTTCTGTGATGATGAAAACGTGAAAAAGAAATTTCTGGAGAATTATGCAGCTGTAGTGATGCAGATTAATCTTTGACTTTTAAAAAAATATTTCTGACTGCTTTTCACCCTCTGAACAGGTGTTCTGCTGGGTGAGGTGAATGAGAGCAGTTCATGCTTCCAAGGGCATTATTTATTCAGAGATCACAGAATCACAGAATATGCTCACTTGGAAGGGACCCACCAGAATCATCGAGTCCTGCTCTTAGTTATGCACAGGCCCATCCCCAGGAGTCCCACCCTGTGCCCCAGAGGATCATCCAAACCCTCCTGGAGCTCTGGCAGCCTCGGGGCTGTGCCCACTGCCCTGGGGAGCCTGTTCAGTGCCAACCACCCTCTGGGGGAAGAACCTTTGCCTGAGATCCAACCTGAGCCTGCCCTGGCACAGCTCCAGCCATTCCCTGGGGGCTGTCCCTGGTCCCCCCAGAGCAGAGCTCAGGACTCTTTTATTGGTTAAAATGCATTCTCTGAGACACCCAGAATTTGCAGTCCAAGTTTTTCTTTACTGCAGATTGACACCCATTTCCATTTTAATAACGACAGTGAATGCAACAAGCAGGGCCAGGCTGTGCAAAACAAACATCCACTAATTTGTAGTCATTTAAATATGTAAAGCTAGTCTTTGATGTTAATGCACCATTAAAAAGGAGCTGGGAAGCTCACACGTCTGCTCCTGTGTTGCTTGTCAAGCAGCAGAACAGCTCAAAGAGCAGCTCGTTGGTTTGCAGCATCAAACCCACCTCAGCAAGTTTGGTATCTTGTAAAAACTTTCGGTACCTGACACCTTCAAACTTTACAGGACATGGAAAATCCGTGGGAAGAAAGTGCATTTGCAAAGCTCGTGCCTTTTCAGGATCAAGGTGATACTAATTAATCAGAATCCTTAATTTTTAAGTTTGTTTTGTTTTGTTTTGTTTTTTTCTGAATTCCTGTTCTTTGGGATAAATGGGCAGCAATTTCACCTATTTATCTATGAGCTGAGACATGACTGCTCTCATTTCTCCCCTTTCTGAAGTGAAGAGCTTCACTGAAGTACCAGGAGGTCACCGGTGTCTTTCAGAAAATAAAACAGGCTAATTTAGGCATTTGCAACAGTTTTCAGCTTGAAAGGTAGACAGTTGTGCTGCTAACAACCCCCTGATTGAAGTAATGGTCTATTTTTTTACCCAGAACAAGTAGCACACAGGTACAACATGTATACCTTTGGCATAGACAAGTGAATTGCATTCCCATTTTGGGAGAAAAGAAGGCAGATAGAGTCCTGTTAGCATTGCTGCATTATCATAACCTAGGCAACATGTGTGGCACACGTGCACAGACATTTCATTTCACTGCAGCAGTGTGATGAAAGCCAAATAACTTTTTTTTTTTTTTCATAAATAGGCCAAATTGGTGTTTTTCCCCCCACTGTTTTAACTGCTCTCTTAAGAGGTTTGCTCTCTCCAGCATTCCCATTTGCATTTTGCATCTTCAAGGCTTGTTCTACACATCTGCAACACTTTCACTCTGCCTGTGTAGTTAGTGTTATTTAGTGCAAATGCTCTTCTGTGATTATCAGGGCACTCTGACAGTATAAGGTGAGCCCCAGAGTGAGAAACAAGTCCATATTCCCACTCTGATTGCATTGGAAATAATATCCATCATCCTGGGTAAAAAGCACGCTGCAATAAAGGGGATTCATCAGAATAGAACCAATGCATAGATAAAGCCAACCAAAAAATTGTAGTGTGGCAGTATTGGTCAAAAAAGAAGACAACCAGGTGCAACCTGTGCAGCCACTGACTTTCCACACTCATTTCTAAGCTCATCCTTCTCCTTTCCAAGAAATTGAGGAGCTTGTGCGTTTCTTTCTTTTTCTTATGATAACAACAACAACAATATTTTTGTCTTTGCAAATATTAAATATTTGTTGCTGGCTACTCTTTAGTCCATGGCTCCCTCAGATCCAAGTCAATTCATTCCCACAGCAGCAGCAGAACTGAATTGAGAAAGCCAATTTCTACTGTACAAAAAGTCAGGATGAAATTTGTCCTCCTTTTGCAGGAAAAACCCCAGCCTTTGGTTTTGATATTAAACCCATAATTTATTCTTGGGTTAATGAATTAATACTCAGTTCAGGCACCACTAGGCAGGGACAGAGCAAGAGGCAGAGTTGATGTGAGCTACGCTTAGTACCAAATATGTTCGAGATATCAGAAATTGTTTACTCTGTTTATAATTCTTCAGCTTCTAAAAATAACCCTGCACTGTCTCATCTCAAAAATGAGTAAAACAAACATGAGAAATCAGTGAAATAACTATTTTCTGCATTTAGACATCTCTTTGACTACATGAGAGTGGTAGGCAAAGGCTCGATCATTAAATTTCTGCATAAGGAAATGGATTTATGTGTAAATAATTATTATGCATGTTAACTAGCTGCACACATCACAAGGAAAACATCAGGGAGGTTTGCTTGTGGAGGCTAAACAAAATATGTTTGCTTCATGCTGTTCTTTTATGATCATTTTTACTGGAAGCACAGTATATAGAGGCACAGCAATCATATATTTTTCACTGTAAAAGCACCATCTGTCTTTGGAAACAGCATCAGGCTCTCTCCAGAGAAAAACCAAAGTTGGTCAACTTTGTAGCTGTCAACCTAGAGTTGAAAATATTCCCTCTTTTGGGATGTCTTGATGTTGTTTACGTGCACCTTTCTGGTAGTGATTTCCAATGCAGCAGAAAATAATTAATTGCTAGAAACTCGAAGAGAGAAATTACTTCAAATAGAATCTTGCCAATGATCTGGCAAACAAACTGTTCTTTATTTCAGTGTTTTCATCATGGTGAAGGAAAAATTTCCTTAGATGAAAACCTATCTGCCTGGATTATGGGACAATACTAAAACTTTAAGTGATGAAAAGGATATAGGCTTGCTGGAGTCTTTCTAGTTCACATGGTAGCTCTTCCTGGCAGGAACAGTCTGAGACAGCTTTTATAACCCAGTCTTTAAAGAAGCTTCACCTCCATCTCCAGGTTTGTCAGTCAAGTCATTCTGATTAAAAACTCTGCCTCTGTGAACAGAAAAATACAGTTTTGCCAGCGAAAATCTGGGTGTGTGGTGCCACAAAGCTGATAGGCATTATGTTCCTGGGAAAACAACTTCCACAAGAAGGTGCAGAAGCATTCCACTGTCCGCTTGCCGAGTGGGAGAAGGACACCAAAGGCATGGGGGTCCATGCATTTGAGATGTATATAAATAGCTCACAGGTGGGTGCCAAGAGGATGGTGCCTTTTTGATGGTGCCCAGTGACAGGACAAGGAGCAATGACCATAAACTAAACCAGAACAAGCTCCATCTCAACACAGAATCACAGAACATGCTGAGTTGGAAAGGACCACAAGGATCATCTCAGCCGTGCACAGGACACCTCAACAATCACACCCTGTCCCTGAGAGCGTTGCCCAAATGCTCCTCGAGCTCTGGCAGCCTTGGGATTGTAATAACTGCCCTGGGGAGCCTGTTCAGTGCCCAGCCACCCTCTGGGGGAACAACCTTTTCCTGATATGCAACCTCAGTCTCTCCTGACACAGCTTCTTGCTGTTTACTCGAGTCCTGTGACTGGTCATGAGAGCGAAGAGATCACTGCCTGCCCTTTTGCTTCCATGGGGAGAACTTATTTCCACGGGGGTGGCAGATCACCGGAACAGCTGCCCGGGGAGGGCGTGGAGTCTCCCTCTCCGCAGACATCCCAAACCCACCTGGACGCATCCCTGCGTCACCTGTTCCAAGTGACCCTGCCCGCCTCGGCTGTGGGGTCGCACCGGACGATCTCCCAAGAGGTCCCTGACAATTCTGTGGTTCTGTATTCAGAGCGTCTCTCTGACCTGACCCTGGACGCCCGGCGCTCTCCCACCTTAGCGCGGGGGGGGATGCGGGATGCAGGATGCGGGATGCAGGATGCGGGATGCAGGATGCAGGCTCTGCCCCCGCACCCCCCCTCGCCCCGCGGGGCTCTGCCGGGCGGCGGCTCCTCCTCCGCGGTGACGGCCGGGCTCGCCCCCGCCCCGCCCCGCCCCGGCCCGCCCCGCTGCCCGGAGAGGCCGCTCCGCGCCCGCCGCCGCCGCACAGCGAGTTGGAGCCGCCGGTCCCCCGCCCGCTCCAGCCCGGGGGAGCCGCTCCGAGCGAGGTGAGACCCGCGGGGGCCGAGCCGAGGGTCGGGGGAACTCTCCTCTTCTCTCCTCCCCACCCGCGGGGCCGTTCCCGCCGCCGCGTCCCCGCGCAGCCTTTCCGTTCTTTATCCCTTATTTCTTCGTATCCCGACGCCTCCCCGCCGACCCCCACTCCATCCACCCCGCCGCCTCCTCGGGGCGATGTTTTATTCATGGCCCGCCGGGCTTTGTACGCGGAGCGGGTTGGCGGGGCGGCCCCGGACCCTCCGGCGGTGGGTGGGGGGGATGGATGGATGGACGGATGGATGGACGGATGGATGGACGGATGGATGGCTGCGGGGGGCGGCGGAGCCCCCCGGGCCGGGCACAGCGCGGGGGCCGCGCTGCGGGCGGGGGGAGCGAGCCGGCCCCTGCCAGCCGCTCTGTGGCAGGCTTTATGTGTGTGTCTGTGTGTCTGTATCTGTCTACATCTACATATATATATCTGTCTTCTTTTTGGCTGTTGAGCAGCCGCGTATTGCCACACACGGAACGCCTGGCGAGCCGGGCGGCACTTACACCATCGCCGAGTTAACTGTAGATGTCAGGCTGTGCTTGCCCTGGCGTGATGTCAGATTGGTAATGCCGCGCAGAAATGGTGAATTCGGTGCGGGCAGAGCGTGATGGAGACGGCACAGACCCAGCGGTGGAGCCTCTTTCTTCCCTGGTGCAGGGCCTGCTGTGTGGGTAGTTCCCCTGGCGCAGGCGGATCGGAGGGGCACTGGGATAATTAGCAATTATTTGTGGGTAGCTGCGGCCTCGGAGGAGCAGATATTTACGCCTGGAGCAGAGATACTTGGCTTGCTTTCCCTTACAGAGGTATTCAGGCGTGTGTTGGTTAGGGAGTCGTTTGCTGATGCCCGTCTTGTCTCAAGTTCTGCGGGGAGGGAGCCTCCGTGGGTACCGCTCCCGAGGAGGAATTCTGTCGTGCGCTGTGGAAAGCTGGCTGTCATCAATAGGTGGTTCCGTATCAGCCCCCGACACGACCACGATTTCTCCCAAGCTGCTCCTAGACCGGTGAACTAAAACTGAGAAATGCTGAATTCAGTTTCCCGTGTCCCTGCCCTTCACATTCCCCGTGCTGCCCTGGCTGGTTGGATTTCAGATGGAAAAATTCCGGTGCCGGGTCTGTCGAAAGAGATCTGCGTGTTTTGGTTTTGCCTCTCTTAACTTGCTGTTTGATAATGGCCCTGAGGCTCCACGTTCCTGGAGATCCCTGTGCACGGGGGGCTGGGGGTGTTTGCCATTTGGTGCAAGTGGAGTGCGCCGATACTGCTTGGTGTTGTTGAACCTTACATTATGTTAGGCGTCGTGTGATGAGGCAGCTCGATTTGTTTAAGGCTTTGTGATGATGCAACGCCATAATAATTATAAATCTTCTCATTGTCTGGAGAATCTTTAAATACTGCTCTGTGTCGGGAGGTGCTTCATGTGTGTTTATTCCCAAGAGGCGCAGGCACAGATGAGCAGGGTTTGGTATTAATCACCCTCATTTTGGGGTGGGAGGGCGTGAGCACTTTGGCACTGGTGCTTTAGGTTGTAATTTATGGGTGTGACGTCAGGAGCTAGATAAGCTTTTAGAGGATCTGCCGTGTAAATTACGGCCTTTGTTTATATACGTGCAATTACTTGTTTTGGAAATCCACGCTGGAGAGTTTGCTTACGAGCCTGTGCTGGAGCCGTGAATAAGATCCAGCAGAATGTGCTTCGATTGCACAATATTGTTCAGTGGTTGAAAACATTCCGCTTTACCTTGTGCTCACAGCCTACACCAGGTGAGAAGTTACCACATGGCATCTGCACGCTGTGATGTGTACGGGAGTTGGCTGTGAAAGCAGTGACCAGGTGCTCTTATTTTCTTATTTCTCCATGATCTGCCAGGTGCTTTTATCTTCTGCTTGCTCTCTGGTCTGGTTTGTTTTGTTTGTTTGTTTGTTTGTTTTCTTTTTAAAAAGAAACAGGGTGCTGAAATGACTGATTTCAATTAACCCGCTCTGGAGAGAGCAGCTTGGTTATTTAAGGCTGCTGTGGTTTGTTATGCAATCAGATTAACAAAGGTTGAAATGATCATTCAGCTTTGGGTAAACACGATCCATCTAACAGTGTGGATTAGGGCGATTGTTTACATCGGGCAGATCTGCTGCAGTCGGCGTCTTGCAAATACTGGATGAAAACACAATGAGTGGACACAGTAATGTACTAAATAAGTGTTCAGTAAACTCCTTGGGGTTATAACGTGCTTACTATCGATTGTCTGTGCTCCAGGAGCTTCTGCAGTGCCTTAGGTGCTGCTCGCACGCATGGGCAAACTTACTTTCAGCTTCATTTAGTTGGCAGGCGAAGGCCTGGGTGAACATCTTCGTGCACGGCCTGGGATGCCTGGGGTGCTGTGCAGGCTCTGTGCTGTGGCAGCCCAGGTGTTGGGTCAAGGAAGATGACCCGATGCTCAACTGGAAGCTTTCTAAACTAAAAAAAAAAAAAAAAAAAAAAAAAAAAACCTCAATTCCAGCCACGTTTTCTGAAGCTGGCAGCCCCTCAACCGGTCCATTATTATTTGGCTGTTTCCCCTGGTTGTTGTGGGAGCAGCACTGCTGCAGGAGGGCTTTTGAGGCTTGTCTCCCGGAGTGTGCTCACAGAGGAGGTGATGATGGGCGCAGGCATCGCTGCTGTGCCAGAGGTGAGACCCTGCTGGGAGAGAGAAGAGCTGAAAGGGGAAGGTGGAAGCCTGGGATGGGGAAGTATCTGGAGCGCAGGGAGGAGAGGGAGGTATTTGTCAGCAGAGACTCTCCCTGTCTGTGCTCGCTCAGACCCTGCTCTGTGGTTGTACCACAGTGCCCTGGCGTGGGCTCTGGTGCTCTGGAAGTGGACCTTGCTCTAAAAATACACTCTGTGATGGCATCGAGGGGTTGGGAGAAAGGAGGAATAGCTGACTCCTGCAGTCAGTTTTCCAGAGGCCTTTGTGTTGGTGTGGAGTGCGAGCCCTTCCAGCCTTCCTCTCATTCAGGGGAAGGTAAGGTACCCTTAAGGGTGCTGCTTTTCCATCCTTCAGGAGATGGTGAAACAGGGCTACATTTTGGCTACACATTCAAAAATATTCTGAGAAGGAGTTTATTATTATTATTGTTGTTATTATTATTTATTATTGTTATTATTGTTATTATTATTATTTCCTTGCTGACTGTGTTTGATTCTACATAAGCAGACATCGAATTGCAAAGGGATTTCACAGGCACTTGCAAATGTCCATCACTGTGCTACTGACTGCTCTGTGTGTGTGCTGTGTGACATATTTGTGATAAACGTACACAGGCACGTTTAGGGTGCGCTGGAATCTAAAAAGAGGGATTTTGGGGAATAGCTAATATTATAAAGGCTCTGGTATTGTTGGATGTTCAGAGGAGGCGGTGTGGGATGGGATACGCACTCAGTAATGTTAAGACTATTACTGGTATTAGTTTACTTCAGCTCCAATTTATTAACAGGTTGGGATCTTGTCACCTTCAATTTTGTGAATGGAGTAAGAGGAGTTATTCTTGGCCTGACTAGCTCAGTAGCTCTGATGTTGGGGCCACTTTTCTGGTGCACAGGAAAACTGGAACTCCAGAGTTGTCCTCCTGGTAAACCCTTCCAGTGGTCATTAGGAAATCTTCGGGCTGGCAGTTCCAATGAGGCTGTTGTGTTTAACAGCTGCTGATGGATTGTCTTCTCTTAAAAATGTCTTGATTTGCTTTGAAAAACTTTATGACTTTAGTATTCACAGCCTCCTGTGTTGGTGAACTCCTGGTATAATTGGGCACTCTGAGAAGGACTTGATTTTATTCATTTTACAGCTTGCCATTTTCAAGTGCCTGTAATTTTATCTGAATTGTGGAAGAATATCTTTCTTTTTAGGTTTTCACACAGAAACAGACTATATGTGGGGATATTAACAGATCTTAGAACATATATAGAGATAACTGCTGTATGTTTGCAGTCAGGCGTGCTTTCAGCCCCATTTACAGTCACCTTTCATAAATAGGTACCATTATGGCTGTCATATTTAAATGATTGCATGCAAAAAAAAAAAAAAGTTAAAGTACAAGATATTATGTGATTTCTGCAGCTGTTCATCCTGCACACACGTTGTGGTAAATCTTGATTGGGAGCCACTCAAGACATCAAAAGGGTTCCTACTTACCAAGGAGCAACTTCAGCAATGTTGTTTGAAGATTTACTGAAGTAAATCTGTGCAACATTTTAGGGAACGTGGAAGGATGTGGAGAACAGAATTTAAAAACTGTATTAAAGACTTTGAAGTTAAGAAATACGGATTCCAATAAGTGCAGCATCATGCAGTGAAAAGTGGCTGAATCCCTGAACTGTCCTGTATGTTGGCTTCCATCCTCAACCATTTCAGGAATAGATGGGTGTTAACAAAGTTTTGGTTTAAATTCCTCTTTTCCTTCATGTGGCAGGGAAGCAGAATCCTGTGCCTGTGAATTGACCTACAGTATTTGCTCTTGTCCTGGTGGTCCAGAGGTCTGTCTGGGTTACAGGAGCCCTCTGGGTCACAGATGGTGTTGTACTAGACTTCTGTACTGGTGGTAATGACAGTCCTGTTTGGTATGTCAAAAGAAGCCCTTCAAAGGTTGCTAATTTATTACTGGAATCATAGAATGATAGAATATCCTAAACTGGAAGACACCCACCAGGATTATCACGTCCAACTCCTGGCCCTGCACGGGACACCCCAACAGTCCCACCATTCCTGAGAGCATTTTCCAAATGCTCCCTAAGCTCTGGCAGGCTTGGGGCTGTGACCACTTCCCTGGAGAGTCTGTTCCAGTGCTGCTGAAATCCCGTTGATAAAAATGGGTAGAATTTTCATGTTTTTAAAGCAAACAGAAAATCTTAATCTTGTCATTTCTCTTGTTATTCCACCCTTAAGCCTGTAAACTTATCATTAAAGTGGGTGGAATTTCAGCTTACTGGTTTATGG